CCCCCCCGCCATGCCTCAGCGGTCTGCTGGGAGCAGGGGGGGTCCCCTGGGACTGCCGGGCATCCCTGGGGGCCTCCACGGTCGTCCCCCCCCACCGGAAGCCCTTGCTCCAGCGTGCAAACCACTGGTGGCTCTGGCCTCTGCCACAGCGCACCCTCGGTAGCTGGAAGCATCCCACGGGAATTGTTTTACGAGTAGAAACATTATCGCACTGCTGTTAACGTTTTAATTCCTGCAAAGGGCGAATCAGAGGCAGCCCCGGCGTCGGTTGCGGGTGGGGAAGGAAGCACAGCCGCCGGCTGATAAGGCGGAGGTTAAAGTGCCAGAGCCACCCGTGGCATGGGCTGGCCCTGGGGAACTGCCGGTGGCGGTCCTGCACAGCAAGGCTATGGCCACTACCCTTGCTGTCCCCCTGTCCCGCCACCCCAGGAGCCCTGCGTGGCCGCGCTGGCGCGGGTGGAGCGGACGGACTTCCTCTCCCCGGTGTGCATCGGCGAGGTGGCCAACGTCAGCGCTGAGATCACCTACACCTCCCGGCACTCTGTGGAGGTCCAGGTCAACGTCATGTCCGAAAACATCTTAACAGGTGGGTGTGGCTGCTGGCAGCTCTGTCCCAAAACTCCAGGAGTCGCCGTGATAAGCTGGCAGCTCGGGCGGCGAGCCTATCCTCTGCCCGCTGTCAGCACTGGGCAGAGGGGAGATCTTGCCTTTTTATTGAGAGTGCTGGCAGGGAAGCCGAGCAGCTCCCGGGGGATTATGGCTCCATTGATTGTTTTTAGTGAAGAACAGAAAAATCCACCATTAGCTCCTCCTGCCTAATTTGCTGCCCGTGGCTGCCTTTGGCCTGAAAAAGGCCCTTTTCCTGTTGTTGCTGTGGCAACCAGCTCCGCTTGCCAGGACGCCTTCGTCACATCTGCTCTGAGCCAAAGCCCGGGCAAGGCAGGGCGCTGCCCAGTGCCGGTGGCATCGCCAGTGTGCAGCAGCCCCGGACCCCGGCAGCGCTGGTGGCTGTTGGCACTGGCGTGGTCACCCTCTGCTCCCCTCCCCTCCAGGGGCAAAGAAGGTGACGAACAAGGCGACGCTGTGGTACGTGCCGCTCTCGCTAAAGAACGTGAACAAGGTCCTTGAGGTTCCCCCCATCCAGGTAGGCTGGCTCCTTGCTCCCCAAAAACCAGAGCTCATCCCCTCTGCGGGAACAGCACTAACCTGGCCCCGTCAGCACCCCTGGCTGTGCTGGTGGCTTTGCTGTCCCCATTCTTACTGGCCTTTCCTTCCAGTATGCGAGAAAGGAGCAGGAGGACGAGGGGAAGAAGCGTTATGAGGAGCAGAAGCTGGATCGTCTGGAAACTAAGCAGAGAAACGGCGACTTGATCTTCCCTGTCATCAACCCAGGTAACGCGGGTGGTGTGTGGCCTGTGGCAACGTCCCGGCGGTGCTGGGAGGCCAAACTGGTCCCCGAGGCAACTCCAGCCATCCCCGGGCACCCACGGCTGTGAGCGTGAACTCGGAACACCACGTTGGGGACGGGGATGCGATTTTGGAGCCGCAGAGGGGGAGCCAAGTGGGCATCTGCGACCCCGTGCTGGGGCCGGTGGGTGGGATGCCCTCTGCTGAAACGCATCCCTCGTGCCCTCCTGGGCCGCAGGAGCTCGTTTGGCTCAGCACAGGGGACACGCGAGTGCTGGGCAAGGGTTTGGGCGCTCTGCAGCTGCAGCCCCTCTCTGGAAGGGTTTTGAGCAAGAAGTTCATCAGCCGGCGTCTGAAGGGGAGGATGAGCTACGGGGAGGAGCTGGGGGTCATGCTCTCCCTGGGGAAACTCTGGGGATCCCTTTCCTACCGAAAGCATTGCCCTGGCTTCCGGAAATGGTGGTGGGGCTGACGGCGAGCCGAAGGGGCGAGCGGCCGGTGGCGTCCAGGACTGGCTGCAGTCCTTGGGCGGAGGCAGAGAGGTGGCATGCAGGGATCGTTGGGGGGGTGACGTGGGATGAAAGTTGCTCAAATGCTTTTTTCCCCTCTGTTCTCCCTGCTCACAGATAGGCAGACGAAAGGTAAGGCTCTGCGGGCACTGCGGCACGGGTGTCCTCCCCGAGGAGGTGATGCCGAGCGGCTCGGCTGGTTCTTCCTGCACTAAGTGCCTTCAGCTCCTCTCCTTAGACAGAAAACGCAGCCACACTCGACAGCGGTTTCCCTCCGCTGGCAGTCGGAGGGTGTGATTTCTGTCGGCTGGATTTGGTGGCGAGTCAGGTGTCACCAGCACCTGCCAGGGCTGGGGGGCGCAGGGGCCGAGATCTTCACGCTGAGGGTAAAGCATGGCTCTTTGGAGATAAGCGGCGGGTTCGGGGAGATTTGGCTGCAGCTGGTGGCCTAAGGAGGGAAAGGGTACGGCCACGTGTCTCCAGTTCCCTTCTGTTTGCTCTCTGAAAGCTTTAAAGGGAGAAATGAGCTGAGCTGGAATAAAATTGATGGGTGGGCATTGGAAGGAGGCGGC